TACGTTATTTCTTAACTGTCTATGCGGTTCAAAATTCTACATTGTACCTACCTGTAATCATCCGTATAAATCTATAGAAGGTTTGCCTCTTAAATTCACAGTATTTTTAAACCTTGAAAGCAGAGTCTATTTGAAAAATATTACTCATGAAAAGAAGATTTTTCTACTTGCCATCCCCTGGGTTAACAAAGGACAACAACTTTATCTCTCAATTATTTGTTTTGTAAATCCTACGTAAGGACCGGTGTCAAAACATCTATATATATATATATATATATATATATATATATATATATATATATATATATATATATATATATATATATATATATATATATATATATATATATATATATATATATATATATATATCAAAAAATACCACAAAAAACACTAAGGTAGTCCGATCCTCATCAGGTTTATAAAATTAGCAGTTAAGTAATCCAAAATACTCTTAAAAGTATGTCTGAATTCACAAAGTTATGTGAATTTATCCACCATATTTCTTTAAATATGAAAATTAAAATTAATCATATTATTATATAGGGAAAATTGTCAACATTTTTTTTGCAGAAACGGCGAATAGGATTATCAGCAATGCATTTTCTAATTGCAAATGGTTCATAAATTTTTATTTTGGTTAAAAAACGATAGGTAACCAGGTATTCAGGTAATCTTGTTTCTCTAAAACTATATTAATTATTCTTTCTTTAATTTTATAGGGTACAAATGTAAGCTTTTATAAAACCTTTTCTAAGACTTCCAAAATCCTTAAATCTTATAAAGATGAATAAAATTTAAAAAATGTTGCATGAAAAAATTTCATTTTCAAGCTTCATTTTGATTAAATATTTATTTCTGGCTGAGGATCGGATATCCGTAAGTACAAAAGAATTTTTTTTATTAAATGTATTGGATTTTCAAAACAAATAGTTTTGTAAACACAATACGTCTTTGCATGACCATTCAAGATGACAAAAACGCCATTGTCTACGTGTTTTGACAAATGTGGTACAAGCATCGAAAAAATGCATAAGGTAAACTACTTCTCTTATTGAGTATCTGCTCCAACAAAGACTGATTCAATCCAAATCGACTAAAGAATTTAAAATGAATCAATGAACACAAAGACGGCAATTCAAGTTGTAGAACAATATCAATTGGCCCAATCTTCCATCGAGGACTGTTTACAAAACTTTTGTATGAATTTCGTTTCGCCTCAACAAAAATAAAAATTGTAGTCTTAGATATCATCATATCGACCGTTATACCCAACACACTTCAACTGCTTTGTAAGTTAAGGACAGCAACATTTGCACCATTGAAAGAAATATTTTTCTTTTGTCTGGCTTTGGTCAAAACTTGAATTGGATTTGCATTTTCATTCAGTAACCCCACAACCATCCCAATCTCCTAACACTACCAAACAGCACAACCCTCACATTCGCACACATCCTCATACTCTCTCTCTCGTTCTGTCTCTCTCTGTCTCTCTCTCTCTCTCTCTCTCTCTCTCACCAACACATCCTCCCAATCCCTTTCACAAACTTGCACTCTTGCATACTCTATCACACATAGTTACACACTATTTATTATTTCTTTTAAATTTCATCCATTTGCACAGTAAACAATGTAAAATATTTATTTTTCAATTACAAAGTAATTCGCAAACCTTTTGGTGTTCTGACAATGCCCTTAAATGACCTTGATATCCAATTTCCAACTTGCACCGTCTACTAATTGTTCCAAGATATGAAACTGATAATATCAAGACATGCTCTACAAATAAAACATCGAATAACATTCAGCGATTAATATCGCTCATATCGCCAATTAGTAACCCATTGTCTTGTTGTCCATACCAAGTAAAGCCGACTTCCTGTTATTTTAATTTGAGGAGCAATCTTAAACTTATTGTGTAATACCTAGTACTTAATGCCGTAACTATATATGAAGCAAAAAAACATGCATTTTAAAATTGATCTTACTTGATCTTAGTTGATTCGATACGCAAAGAGCATGCTCTACGTATGAACAATTTCTTAAACGAGGTATTGATATTATCATTCTACACATTATATCAAGATATTGAGCCTGAACAGACATGCGCTCGGTGACTTCCACTCAAAATATCGACGTAACATATTCATTTTTCTGTAAAAATCATGGAAATTTTAAATTGAGATCATTTTTGTGACGTCATTTTTAACATATGACGTCATTGCGTATGAAAATATTCAGTGCTTTGAAGTCAGCATTATCCCCCTGTTTTAGAACGTAATTGAATATTTCTCCGTCAAGTTTGATTTTTTTTTTGGGGGGGGGGGAGATATTGGTTATTACCGAATAAAGTCCTTTGTATTCTATTTTTAGCGAAATGTCATTTTAGAGATTTTAAAAAAATCACTTAAGAAGCTTTTACAAATAAAGCGAAATTAATTTAAGCGATATTCAGTTTAGGCGATCTCATCACCCTCGCTGAAAATGCCAAAATTAAATCCTTGCTAAAAATTCTGCTTATACAGTGTTAAAGATACACAAACATTCAAATATGTAAGGGGTTTTGTTTCAAATGTCTTCATTTCACCATCTCTTTTATTTCTGAAACAAATAGTCCATGGTTTTTTGTTTTTATTTGTTTTTGTTTTTTCTTAAAGTAGGGTCATTCAATTTTAATTGTTTTTTCGGTCTTTGTAATAAGCAAAAGTTTCGAGTCGCATTTTCTTCCCAATTCAATTGACTATAATATTTTTGCTTAATAACACATGTACAGTATATGCATTGTTGACAGATTTGTCAGTGCCAAATGTCTCTAAATTCTTAAATATGAAAAACGCTTTCAGTTTTAAATCAGTTACTGTAACTTTTTTTTTTCTCTTTTATTGATAACAAACAATGATATAAATAACAATACATTACACATTGACATTCGATGATTCTTTTCACATAGAACAAAGAAAAAAGAAAAGTTATAAATAACACAGATAAACTACATTACACATTGACATTTGATGATTCTTTTCATATATAATAAAGAAGAAAGAAAAGTTATAAATAACACAGATAAACTACATTACACATTGATATTTGATGATTCTTTTCATATATAATAAAGAAGAAAGAAAAGCTATAAATAACACACAGATAAACATCATACATTGATATTTGATGATTCTTTTCACATAGAAAGAGGAAAAAAAAGATGTAATAAATTTAAGACAATAATAACAATGATAATTATACTAATAATGATGATAATAATAGATAGGAGACGCTAGCTTGTATAATGGAATTATAAAGAATACAGTATGCTCCTATGTTAGCATGATAGGCCACCTTCTACACTTTCAAGAGTCCATAATGCCCTCATGCTAACACGCAGACTCCACAACTGGTTTTGTGGACCTGCTGGTAACATATATTTACATTTACAAATTAATACAAACTTTTTTCAGCAATTTGTGAATCTGTACATTGTCATATGAAAATTCTGCAATATACTGATATGTATTTAAAGATGATTTAACAAAATTAAACAGGGAATCTTTGTTACAAGTTGTATCTGTCAATCTACACTTCATCTTATATTTAAAAGTTTTTAAGGCAATGTAAGATATCAATGTATTCATGCCGTTGGTAAAATCTGTGTTTTCATAAAAACCTATTACAATATGCTTCCAACTTATTTTGAAACCTAAAATGGTACTTATTCTATGCCATATAAAATTTGAGTCATTACAGTTAAATAAAAGGTGTATTATATTTTCAATATCTCCACAGTAAGCACAAAATGTTTGCACATTTGGATTCCACTTGCTCACACTCAGGTTATTGTTTAATAATTTATGAAATAATTTATAATTAAATTCTGCTATATGCTTATCAGACATTTTTGAGATTTTCACATGATAAATGGAAGCCCATAGATACCTGGGAGTATAACAGTATACAGTTACTGTAACTAATACCGGCTAGGATGATTTAAACAATCAATCAAAATTACATTGAAAAAGGAATGCAAAATAATATTTTAAAAAATCCTGTTAAAAAGAAAAAACTGAGAAAAGCATGTCAGAGAGCGGACACATGTACGTAGTCAATTCAATCATACTACATGTATGACCAGTTAAAAGGTCAGGACAAAGGTAACAACAGGATTTATAATTATGTTTAAATGTGAAAAAGTCATACCTATGGAAATAATTGCTAATAAACATATTGTTTGAAAATATATACTGCATCTGTTTCGAAAATATAAAAATAACTAATATTTTTACAGGAAAAGAGACTAGAAATGAACAAATACACACAGAATATGAAGGGATTCAGCGAAAAAGAAGATTATTTCATGGACTATGTAAAGAAAACTTAATTTAGTGTTTTTTCCTAACAAATAACGTTAATTATAATTATTATGATATAATTTTGATATTTGTCTGTTGGTCAATTCTAAAATGATTTCAAAATAAGATTTGCTATAAAAAAAATGAAATCAACTTTTAAAAAAATAAAGCAAAAAATCTCACTGAACTGAGAAAAATTAAATGGAAGACCAAAAAGCTACAGTGCCACCCATTGAAAAAAAGGGTTTATTAATTGCAAATCATAAAGTTTGCTGCTCCATAAAGTTTTGCCGTTTATCGTAAAATCATCGAAAATGTTCCATTCTTACTACTGGTTTTCAACAGAAAAAAATTGTTAAAGTCATTCTGTCCAAAAAACATATTCTTCAGATCTAATGTTGGTATTTAAAGGATACTTGAATTTCTCATTGACACTATCTAATGTGACTGTTTACTACTTTGATACTGTACAGTCATGTAAGTGGTTGATGTATAAGGCATAAATTTTCACACATTTCGACATTAGATGGAAGTTTTTCCTAACAGATTTTGTTTAAACTTCATCATTTGTAATTCATTATTTTAAGTATTTTAAATCAATTCATGCAAAATGTCTGTATCTTTTTATTCCAAGGGGGTGGAAGATGATGAAGATTATGAACAGGTAAAAGGTTTGAAATTTCTTCCTACATATGAACGACTCAAGAATTGAAACACACAAAATAATCTTTTCACTTTTCATGAACGTTAGTCTCTCTTTCTTAAAGCTACAGGTGCAGTCAAGAGAAACACGAAACATCGATCAAATGGACTTCTATGGAGGCATCATTCAACGAGAGACTCCAAAGAGGTCCATGAAGCGTGTTCTGGTGGTACTTTTGATCATAATTCTTCTCCTCGGACTTGTCGCAACGAGTGTATTACTTTTTCTTGAGAAAACAAAAATCAATGGTAATTCATTCTACCGCTTTATATTTAAAATGCCTTGGAGGAAAAGAGTTTGCACTAACGGGGTTACCTTCTTTTTCTTAAAAGTATTATTATCCAAGATGAATTCATATTTAAGTCAAGTATTGCCGATCTAACATTTGAATATCATTTGAATAATTTTAACAAAGCAAGTTACAAAAGTAGTACTGACTACTGTTTTATTTTACTGGATGGACCATGGCTGATGAAAAAAGGAGCAAAGGCGTCAGTATACTGCCTTTCCATGGCATCCCTAAAACATGTCAATCTTAGAACAATATTTGACCAGTCCATATTAGAATGTGCAATTTAAAGTTTAAGTCTTATAACCTTACTGGAGCTTGTACGCCCAATATCCACCACAGTAACTGTAGAGTATATACATTTGTTACCAGTAGGCATGTGACAAAATTTTATAATTGCAAAATGTAATTTTGAATACTAGTATACACAAGAGTGACAGAAATATTATCTCTCCTTGGTTGAAATAATATCAAATTTTGTGGGCAATTAAATATATTGATTGATTGCAGAATTGTTTAACGTTCCTCTCGAGAATTTTTTCACTCTTATGGAGACCTATACTCGGCACTCGGGGACACTGAGCAGGGAGGGGTATTTTTCGAGCCAGCACCTATTGCGACACGGGACCTCGGTTTATACGGCCTCAACGTCTCACACTGGGATTCGAACATGCGACATATGGATTGTCTTTTACTTTGCGAATCTAGTGCAGACATTGTAACCACTGCGCCACGACCAAAATAATCAAAATCAACAAAGCACTAGCTATTTCATATATAACTTTTTTTTTATCAAAATATTCATGAAAAATCATTTTCTTAGCGAATACAAAATTCTGTAAGACAGATGTAAAATGCCTGCTAGAAGCAGTAATTTATCTTGAGGGCATACAGTACTAGTGGTTGATTGATTGATTGTATATTGTTTAACGTCCCTCTCGAGAATTTTTCACTCATATGGAGACGTCACCGTTTGCCGGTGAAGGGCTTCAAATTTAGACCTATACTCAGCACTCAGTGCCATTGAGCAGTGAGGGTTCTTTATCGTGCCAGCGCCTACCGTGACACGGGACCTATGTTTTTAAGGTTATATCCGAAAGACCCGTGACTTTCACTTCTGATGCCGAGCGCTTGGCGACGGAACAGTCACTACCTGTTTTTACGTCTTAGCTTTGACTCGGCGCCGGGAACGAGAATCGAACTCGGGCCTCCCGATCACGAAGCGAACGCTCTACCACTAAGCTACCGTGAACGGTCTACAATACTAGTGTAACGTTGCCATTAGTATAAATGTACTTCTTTTTAAAAATTGCCATAGCATAAGCAACAATTGATCTTGAGGGATTGCTTCTGTGCTACCTGTCAACCGAAATGTCCACTACATGAAATGTGTTCAATAATATCGAAACAAAAGATTCAAACATATCACATTACTTACACCTTCAGATTGTTTATGATTTTATCATACATTTCAAAGATGTGTGTGTTTAATTATTTTTACATCTTTTACAGCTGAAATGCAATGTCTATATTTATTTTTTAAAAATGTACGTAAGAAAAAACACATATATCAATATTTTATTTTCCATGTGCAGAGAAGCCACTACCAACACCTTTGGCGATAACTTGTCAGCAACCCCTGCAAAAACCAAATATCCAAATCAACAGATAATGGAAATGCAGATTTAGGTAAAGATGCTATTACAGACTCTGAGACGTGCTACTACCCCACACGCTCGCTGCACGAACGGTACACGAACGCTACACGGTTTGCACGAAACGCTGCACGGTTTACACGAAACTCTACACGGTTTACACGAAACGCTTTGCACAAAAGGCTGTACGGTTTACACGAAAGGCTGCACGAAACGTTACTCACACGCTTTGTACACGATTCTCGCACATTTTAGCCTCGGTTTGGATTTTCTACTCGGAATATCTCTGGCATTATTACGGTTTTATCATTAATTAAATGGAAATCTTTCACAAAGCCACATTTAGCAGCTGTTTAAATTAAATATCAGTATACTAGTATTATATAAACCAATAGAAATATTTAATACTCGGACAGTTGTAATTAATTAATAAATAATTGTCATTTCGTATTTATTTATTTATTTATCCAACTGTTTAAAAACGAAATGCCGATATGAATGACTGTTTAATAAAATACAATTTTTATATATTAGTCATTCATTTCAATGTAATATTTTTACGAGTATAATTTAATAGATTAAACACAAATTCGATTTCTTACTGCAGGAAAATGAACTCATTGATTTTAAATAATATTGATTATATTGTGTTTGATTTCCGTAGACGGATTAATTATTTTTCTTGATTTTGATTTAGTAATAAAATTTGCCTATATATTCTACTAACGATTATTGATACATTTCTAAAGATTTTTTTTTTATCTTACGTATTACTAAGCATTATCCATAGGAGGGAAACCGGTAAAGGGGGAGGGGGGGTTAAATGTGATGTCTTAATATATTCTTATTCAATTTCTCTTTTTACATGAAGCTTATCAAATAACATCAGTATACCCATCATACTGTAAAATCCTTCATTTCTAAACCCGACTAAACGTATGTATATATATGTACATTAATTAATAGTCGCGGCATTTGACTATACATTGTGCATACAATGTAGATCGATCTTTACGATTATTTATAAAACAAGTAATATACAATTATTCATGATTCAATCTTAAGCTTTTCTTACATGATATTCATGAAAAGACTACCAAATCAGTTCTGTTTATTTTACTGTTTACGGCTAGAATATCAGATTTACAGATAAAAGATGAAATCCGCTGATTAATATACGTTGTACCCATTAAATATTTAAAGAACCATTTTATTTTTAAAAAATAAAATCTAGTTGTGATTTTCAGGTGTCATTAATCCGTGAATAACATGTACATATAGCAAAACAGGTTTTCTTTTGCCATGCACTCGGAGCCCGTGATCGCTGTTGTGAATGACCTTGATCACAGTTGAAAGGCGGAAAGAAGATTCCAATATATTTGTAAGGGGTATATCTGCGCACATATTAAACAAAGGATTTAAAAAATATATAAAATTAAGCAATTAGTTAAACTAACATTAGATTGAAAATTACAACAAAAAACGTGAGTCTGTACTAGTAATTTAATTAACCCCCCCCCCCTTTTCTAAACACGTGGTCGTCAGTGCATGTGAATTAAAATTATCATCCATTTATTTGACAAAAATGAGCAACACATTTAAAGGTATTAAAAGGTATTAAATGACACATCGTTTCAAAACTTTCTTTCACGTACTTTAAATGTAAAGACAAGAGCAGAGTCACGATATATTTTGCTTTACATTAAGAAAAAATAATACAGGTATTTCTTTCTTTAAGAAAAAATATTTAAGAAGCCATGATCGCGTGGATACTATAATATTGAATTCAATGCCCTTAAAATTGTTGTACATATTTATTAATTTGAACACATTTTCTTTAGAAGGAAAAGAAAACAAATATTAAAATATATGTCATACATTACCGTGTAATTTCATTTTGTTGTTCCGCTTTTTTTTACTCTTAAAATATCACAAGCATACCTAATTCAATAGTAAAATACTAATACAATTTAACATCCTGACCCATCGATAGCCATATTTAAAGTGAAATGACTTCCGAATGAATCTTAAACGATTCTTGCACGAAAGTTGCACGTTTCTCACACGGATCTTACACGAAAGTTGCACGTTTCTCACAAGCTTCTCGCACGCTCGCTGCACGGTTTGCACGAAACGCTTTGGAGCTTACACGAAACGCTGCACGGTTTACACGAAACGCTACACGGTTTGCACGAAAGGCTGCACGGTTTACACGAAACGGTACACGGTTTGCACGAAACGGAAAGCGCACGAAAGTCACACGCTTTTTTGGGGTAGTAGCACGTCTCAGGGTCTGTAAGTACCGCATGTTAATTTACAAATAAATTCCTTTTGTCTATATTACTAAAAGCAAAAATCTCTTGCAGGGAGCAGAGGGCGAAGTTTTCTGGTCAGCTTTATCCAAAATCACAACGATGGAAATACAACAAACCGAACAATTATTGTATCATCAAAAACTGATTTCAACGTAACAATTTCACTGCCAGAGAGTCAAAGTTCAAATCTGATATCCATTTCAAACCATATAAGTAGAACAGCAACATTCAAGAAGTTAAATGTTCACTACTCTCTGGTTCCTTCCTATTCTACTATTGGATCTAAAGGTATTATCATAAACACGTCTGTGGCGACATCTGTTTTTTCCTTGTACGAATATCGTGTGTCATCAGACACGACAACAGTGTTTCCCACGGACAAGCTTTCTACAAACTATGTCATATCAACAGCGACACCCTCTAGTAATTATTTAGGCAGTGGAAGTCATTTCACAGTTGCTTCAATGAAAGACAATACGCATGTCAGCATAAAGTTTGCAGCTGATCATGACACAAAAATACTGCTTCAGGGAAGAAGTTATGGGAGAGGGGACACATTTAAGATCATTTTAAACAGGTATCAAACGTTTCAAATCGGACATAATGCTGATATGACGGGAACTACGATTAGTTCTTCCAATCCGGTTGCAGTCTTTGCAGGAAATAGGTGTAATACTGTTGGGTATCGTGGATACTGCAGTATGCTTATGGAGATGGTTCCACCAACAGAACAATTAGACAATGTATTCATCGTACCCCCAAATATTCACAGATTCCAATCGCATATACGCATTGCGTCGACATTGAAAACTAATATTAATTTTACCACCAAAGAAACCACGACGAGGACACTTCTTTTGAAAAATCGGTTTGCGGAATTCCTTGTTCGTGAACATGAAATAGGTGTTATATTTTCTACCAAACCTGTGTCAGTAAACAGTATTGCAGTGTCTTCAACCGAGGCTAAAATATATGGCGATTCATACATGGTTACAATTCCTGGAATTAATCAGTATCTCAGCACATACACCAATTTCGTGCCTGGTGGATTTAATTTTAGTTTCGCTACTTTTATGATAAAAAACGATTCTCTTAGAAATCTTCAAATCAATAGAACAAATATCAACGTAGATAGGTGTCTTTTTAACTCCTCTGTTTCAGTTGGAATGGATCTTTACAGCGTATGTACCATAAGTGTTCCAAGTGGAGTTATTAATGCACAGACCTCTGATGGGTCTCGGTTTGGTTTAATTGTTACTGGACAACGCAAACACGATGGTCATGGCTACACTGGAAACGCACTTTCAACCTCCACCTGTGAGACATAAGAACATGATTACAAATTGCCGAATTAATGAGTAATTTCCGATTGAAACTGAACGCTGTGAAGAAGAATACAGTTTTAAAAAATAAAAGATCATTGTTAAGACGATATGTCAATGCACTGGCTTAAGACTTCATCAGACTTATGGAAACAAGAACTGAAAAAAAGAAAAGTCTTGTGATAGTAAGGCAACCTTCACAAACATTATCGGACAACATATATATAGACAACAGATTATTTGTAATGCTGCGTAACATACGAGTGTTTTTGAAAGTCCGAAGACCATGTCAAACATCGCTATACATGTACTATTCAAGAAAAAAATAACGAGGTTCTTTAAAAATACACCTTTTTAACATTTTGTAGTATGATCCAAGACCAACGCACTCATTAAAGATGTTTCTCTCTCATTTGAAACAAATTTTGTTAACATTTGTACCGAGGACAAAATTTTATTTTTCAATCTTTATGCCTTCACAGAATAAATAATTTTGACTCGCCTTACCTCCTACCAACTTTTGATAGAGTTCGATATTTTTTTTCAGATATTTTGTTTCCTCGTTGGGTATACTCATCTGATAACTGAGGGTCTCTATCATCCAAATACTGCCTGTATATGTATCATTAACACACACATGCACGGCATGCTTTTAACATACTTCCTGCTTCTTACATGTACATTTTAAGAGTTTTTCTGTTTTATTTCTGACGTTTTTCATACTAATTGTCATCTCATAATTTATACACTGAATTGACGACGGATTTTTCCGTTATTTCTCGATCATGACAAGGAGCACACGGCGTTGTGACCTGTCAGCAGGGGATGCTCACTTCTCCATGGCACCTGATCCCACATCTGATGTTTTGGAGGTCCGTGTTTGCTCTGCTCCTATTTTGTATTGTTTTATGGACTTTGATATTGAATTTTGTTCGTGATCTCCACATATCCTCCTCTTAAGAGTCCAACACAAAATCGTTCACTAATACTCCATGGCATTCTTTGTTTTGCCTTTTCAATGCAGATTGCCTTTCTTCTAGAATTGATTTCTTTACAACAAAGCAAAATTTAAAGCAATAATTTTTGGAAAATGATACAATGTACAATATTTAACTTTAAAGTCTAAGGTTTTCCAGTTTTGTAACATTACATAGGGGATATGACAACGGACACTATTTATTGTTTTGATTTTAAAATACTAATTTTGATCTGCTCTGAGTTTCGATGTTTGCCTTTTCATAATCTAATAATCTTTAAATAAATCATGGTATTTATAAAATGTTTATACACGTACAAGTCATTCAAACTAATTGTTTAAATATATCTGCAAATTCTGGATATAATATGAATTTTAATTAAATAGTTATATGCAGGTATAGTCTACGAACTTTCCTAACATTCCTCGTATAATTTGAATGTAATAATTTTATTATCATTTGTATGGAACACTGAATACTTGTATGTGTGCAATTAATAGTACTAGTTTTGTTATCAGCTTATTATCAAAAATGTTAGCTAACCTCTTAAATTCATTTCTTTTTAATTGCTTCTTTATTCTATTAGCTGTGCATGGAAATTAAAGAAAACTGATATAAAAGAATGCACAAGTCATTTCAATTTTGTATTTAATCCTCGAACTTTACATTGAATTCATCTTCAATGAAATTATTGATCGTGCTTATAGATAATTAAAAAGAGATCAAACTTACAATTATTTGATTTTATTAAAATTGTTTTGTTTTTTCCCTGAAATACATATATGCAATAATTTTCTTGTTTCCCATCTTTCCTGCATGTTTCAAGGAGTGTAAATAAAAGGATTTATCAATTTCGTTCTAAGTTTTTATTTGGGTTTCAATCATATTTCTTATTTGGAGCAGATTTTCATTTACAATTTATAACCCATAAAATATGAATTAGCCCTGTGCAGATAAATATTCTTCCCGGATACATTTTTAGTTGAGACCTTGTTTCCGGTCTTCAGTGCAACTACCATATGTCCACAAGTAGTCATCCAGGTACTAGCCTGATGATCAATTGTTGCACGAGAATATTCTTTTGCTTCGACATATCCAGAAATATAGGCAGTATATCCTTTCTTTGTCAAATAGCACCAGCTAAAGGAATAGATGCCGGCCTCTTTAGCAGTGAAAACTCCAGTGTCTCTGTCATAGCCTTTTCCGACATTCAATTCAACAATTCCATATTTCACAATAGCCCCATTGGCAAGAGCATTTATACTGCTTGTCAGCACTGCGTAGAAAGCGATCGTTTGTTTCTGATCTGTAAATGTACAAAATGGAAAATATGATATGTATAGCATAAATGTATATGAATGTTTAAGGAGTATAATAAATTAAGAAGAAACGATTTAAACCAATATTATATCCTACATGAATAATGCTATGTAATCAAAAGACATAAACTGGTACGTACGTACTTCAGTTATTTATCCCTGTTAAAGTAATCTATTAATAGACATTTAGTACAGATGAGATGATAGATTTGTAAAAGCTGGTTAAAAATGAACGACGAAGTTACCTTATTATTTGTTTTCAGGAAAGAAGATAGGTGCATTATAGCATATCAGCATTGTTCCGCAGATTAGGAATAAACCAAATCAAATATGAAATATGAAATTCGTTTTACCCTTTTTTAATTCCCCCCTAAAGGCACATTACCCGTACATAAGGGTAGCAATGAAATAACATAAAATATATAGAGAATATCTATATTGTGTAATTTGATATTTGCTTTATCCAACCAGTTGGAATAGAGTATATTCTCGAGGGTTGCCGAACGAATATTCACCATTTCAACAAGTTGGATAACGTTAAAATCAAATCACACAGTTAGAGATGTACTATTTATACATACGAGTTTTATTTAGTTTTTTTTAACTTTGAGATATCCCCTGTGAAACTATATAAATGAGTTTGAACTGATGACGCATAAATTGATGACGTCGCAATGCTGATTTGACATGAAGGGAAGAATATCATGTGAAAAATATAAGATCTTTGTTATCTGTCTCTTTAAAACAGATGTGTGACGATCATGAAGTTGGAGGCTCATTTCAAACTATTGTTTGCAAGTTTTAAAGTTGTAAGGACCGAGGAATCATGAATTTTATTCCGATTCATTTTTGAACAGTGGAAGTGCAAAGGGTGATAGGCTAATGCACACGGTTGATCCGGATCTGTGGTAAGTTACACATACATTACTATAAGGCATACATAATATATAATACATAATATAAGTAAGAAAGCATTTTTGAAATTGTCAAGGGAATTTTGAATTAACACATAAATGCTTGGCACTTAATACGTCTCTCTTAAAAAATTCCGGGGGGGGGGGTTGATCTATCTTTACAGTAACCGGTATGGATACGTTGTTAAAACTATGCACTTCTTTGAAGTATACGAGTTTTTTTTCCTGCTTTTAAGAAAACTATTGCTTATTATCATTTATTTAAATGACAAGTCTGAAGAATTTTTACAAATGAAATTTTTGATAGATTTGAATCTTGAAGCGACGTGGAGGGATCGTGTCAAAACCGGAAGTGCTATTGATAAAGCACCTACCCGAGGATAAAGCGTTTATCTCACGGATAGTATCATCCACACATACGAGATAAAACTTTCTATATGTCTCAGTTTATAAACTCAACGAATAAATTGGCTACTTCGAAAATTTTTGTTTTTCAGTTAACATCTATATATATATCACTGTAAAAAATGCGCTTAGAAAATAAACACTTCCGTTACGTGTTTTGACCTAAACATGTACAAGATTGTTTTTAACGGCTAAACACTTAAGTCTAAACGTGTGTTATATCCAAATGATTTTAGATTCAACACATGTTTAGATATAAGTGTTTAGAATTTGAACACTTTTCTGTGAAGTGCAGAGTTATCTTCCCGGAAATGACGCATATAAATTCGAATGATAAATAGAGCGGTTATCGAAACAAAGAAAATCCCAAATGTAAGCTAAAGACGATGGATTAAAGGAAGAGAATGCTGATCAAAGTGATAATCATGAAGAGATTGTGATATATGCATTTAAAATGTAACATTACTACGATAAAAGGTATGTTTCCTATTATTTTTATTTTACATAAATTGACCACGATGGGCTACGTAAATAGACATGCAGTTACACATGTAGATGTAAATCAAGATTCCCTTCGGTTATACTTTGCATTCCTGAAATCTGGAAAGAAGTACATTATATAGAATGTCATTAATCTGTTAATAATTGTCTATATCGGTATCAGTACTATATAGTGGTTAAATGAGGTTCAATAAAAGTAGCACAATAATAGCTTAGTCAGTAGTCTATCAAACATGTGAAAAATTTCATACAACTCCAGCCAGTGAGGAGCATATTTTAATAAAATTTAAATTTCTTTCTTACAGGATATGGTCCACATCGAACTTAAAATCAAAAATACACGTATCAGAGGAACTGCTGCCTTCTCCAAGTCCACAATGACATGCCATCGTTCTTACATTTTTCAGCACTCCTTACTTTCTAGAGGAAACTGAATTTTATGAAGTCTGTTGTTCGTTATAGTTTTGAACAACCCAAAAACATTCTTAAAGTATGGAAGTGGATTACTTACTGACGGTCATGGATGAAAACAAATTATGCGTATGTTGCTCGGTGCAAGATTTGCTGGAAGTTAAACTTGATACAAACATGGGTAATAACTGCTTGCTAAGCTGATTACAATTAAAACCAGAGTGTGAAAATATATATTTAAACATATATGTATATTTCATTCAAAATTCTTTATAATAAATCCATGTTTGAATGTTCATTAAATAAAATTTAAAATGTGAACAATTGTTATATTTTCAATTTTCTTGCAGGAAGACAATGAAAACATCCAAGTGTTTAATTTGTAAACATGTATCATAATATGTTTTGTAAAGTGTTTAAAGTTTAAACATGTAAGTGTTTAGGCTCTAAACACTTTCCGTTACACGTAATGAAATTCA